CCAACAATTTGGACTCAAAACCGACACTTAAGAATTATTATCAAACAAAAAATTTCATCAAAATCGGATGAAAACTGTGGAAATGTATAAACAACAACCGATCACACACACACACACATACATACATACATACACACACACATATTTTGAGAAATATAGATATAGATGGCTTTTAAAAAATTAAATAGCTTTTTATTAAATTTCAAGAATATGTTATTTAATTTTATATATAAAAATCAAGTAAGTAATTTAAATATCTGGGAGCTGTTTTAACAGATGACAAAAGCCCAGTGGCATATTGGAATCGCAAAAGATGCCGTTCAAAAAAAAAAAAAAGTATGAGGAAAGTTTTGTTAGAGAAAATAATGCTGAACTGTTATGTTATATCATTCCTCCTATATGGCCAATTTCCTCACATATGAAGAGGATATCTGCAGCAACAAAAATGTGGTTCTAAAGAAGGATGCTGAGAATATCATAAAGAATGACAGCTATGTGCCATGAATGATACACGCTTAGGTGATCATGTATCTTTCAATATATGACTGACGTGGCAGATTTTTCCCGCAGTAGTTTGCCATTTCTATCTGCGGTAGACCAGTTACAATCCAAGGAATAGAACCCAGTCTGTCCTGCTATTTACCCATAGCTGGGGGAGAAGAAGAAGATTCATACCTTTCCCTAGAGTATTAGCACATAAAAGTGAATGTAATGGATTTGACTGGAATTCAAACTCGGCTCTCCGATTCCTCCATCCGAGCCAGTATCCACTGTAACTCCACTGTGCCTTTGAAAAAGTCTTAAGGAAAATGGAAACTCATACTTAAAATCAGAAAGCGACAGTTGTAATTTCTGGGACACAATGAAAAAGGAGGGTTTGTTAAAATTGACACTCACAAGACAGATTGAAGACAAGAGAGGTAGAAGGAATTTAACGAGTAACCTACTTAATAATATTCTGTACATTTATGACAACTGTGAAAGGGAGCAGTAAAAAATAAACATTACTATGAGTTGCAAAAGATAGGAAGTTGTGGAGAGCTATAATCGCCTGAAAGGACACGATACATAAAAGAAGAAGAAGAATATTGTGTCCATAAAATATAATCACGAGATTATTGACGGTTGGATCAACACTGTTGTCAATGTTCCATACAGATAACTAATGTCCTAATAGCTAACCGGCATCAAAATGCCACTCCAGGTCAACTCCTTTCACTCAAGACACACCCGCCTTTTGCAAATTCCGATAGAGAAAGTCTTCGCTTTTCCGTCCTAATCTTGACTTTAAGCTGATAGTTAAGGTGCAAGATCGGTTGGGAAGTGTTATAGAGTAGTTTCACAGTAGAGGCTTGTATTTCACTAAGTCGGTCCTACAATAGGTTCGACGTACAAAACGTTAGGAACTTGATATAAGAGTTAATGATGCAGCAATCTAGTTGTGGTGGCTGATACTTTAATATCCGACTAACGGTCGTCCGACATCGACTGACTGACCAACTCCCTGAGCGGTATTCAGTCACCCCACCAAAACGAGGGCATCATGTGGCACAAGGCCGGTTTAACGTGGGATCTCCGAGCCCGTGGGCTCGGCCAAAAATATGCCCAATATGCCCTTTGAACACGTATAAACGGGTTCAGGGTCGGTTTACCTCCCCGAAAAAGACTCCGCCCTTCGGCGTAGCCTCGTTCGGGTTCCTCCCCGCCCGAAGTCAGAGAGTTTAACCGGTCAGCCAGTCGTCCTACTTCAGACTGAACTCAGACCAAGTCACTGAGCCGACTGACTCGTTATTATTACTACTACTTATTATAGGTGGGAGAGTCTATTAACTAGAGAATAGGTGTGTTCCAGTATAACAGGAAGAGGTAAACTTCTCGTCCCCGTAGAGTACCAAGGTTTGGTTTGGTTTATTTTGTTTTATGACATATCAACCTCAATGGGTTATTTAATGCCGATAAAAAATTTTTTATTGCTGGTAATATTTTGTTTTGTCAAAAATCTGTCTCTGGTAATTTTTTTCTTCAAAATTGCTGGTAATAATTTTTTTCAAAAAAAGTATTGCTGGTAATATTTTTTTTTCAAAAATGTATTGCTGGTAATATTTAACTATTTGCCCATAGCTGGGACCCTAACAGGTGCTACCACCCCGAGTCAGGGTGGACCTGGGAACACCAGCAATTAAGAGGTGGTCTTCAAAATTGCTGGTAATAATTTTTTCAAAAAAGTATTGCTGGTAATATTTTTTTTCAAAAATGTATTGCTGGTAATAGTTAACTATTTGCCCGTAGCTGGGACCCTAACAGGTGCTACCACCCTGAGTCAGGGTGAACCTGCGAACACCAGCAATTAAGAGGTGGTCCCACGCTCCTCAAAACCTCCTGATCAGAGGCCTTGCTGCTGGACGTAGTTTATCGTCTCACCCAGGACGACCATAGAGTACCAAAGATGAAAGGTCATCAGTAGAATTACTGTGAAAATATTTATAGAAAAGTGTTGGGGCGCACCCACCTTCTAACTAGTAATGGACTGGTCCCTCTTATATAAGTCAGCTCTGGAGAGAGAGTGACAGAGCGTCAGAGAGAGCGTCAGTGTTAGCAGTCCAGATAAGCTTACCCGGTACATACCGTTGGACTATAGACTTTGGATATTGTTTCGTACTAACCAACCTTCGTTCTACTAATCACTCTATTGTTAATTGCTTTTATGAATATACCAGTATTTTCCTCTACAACTGTGTTTGTCTTAATTCATACACCGACACGCGGGAAACTCACAACATCTCAACAAAAAGGCAGAGGGAAGCTACGTTATGGTGGTGGGAAAGTGACTGAAGCCGAGATCTCCAGTCAGGTGCAGTAGCATTGTAGATTCTTTTTTGCGTTTTATCTAGAATCTCTAAATACATAGAAGCACCAGACCAGATATATTAGCAATATTCAATGCATGAATGAATGATAGACTTCTAAATTATAAATATAATCATCAACTGCCCATCTGTTCATTTGCGCATGACAGCAGAACTTGGGAAATAAAAGAAGAAGTGGAAGTAGAAAGATGTACTGGACAAGTAAAAAAGCTAGCGAGGGAAACAAAAAACGGCAAGTAACAAAACTAGGGGAAACGAAAAGAAAAGCGAGTGCTCATCTCTTTATTAGCATACGGCAGCAGAACTGGGAAAAGAAGTTGGAGAAGTGAGCCAGTTGTAAAAGGGGAAAGTTATAGGGCAAGTAACAAAGGAGGAGAAAACAAAAAGAAAAGCGGCTTTTCATCTCTTCATTAGCACGATAGTATAACTGGGAAAATAAAAGAATAGGGAACGGCATAGATAAGGAGAGGTAGAGGACGAGTAACAAAGTTGGGTGAAAATGAAAAATAAAGGGTAAGTAACAAAGTTGGCAGAAAACGAAAAGAAAAGCGAGTGCTTATCTGTTCATTTGCGCACGACAGCAGAACGGGCAAAATAAGAGAATCGAGAACAGATATAACGAAGGCACGGTAGAGTGTGATTAACAGATCTGGAGGAAAAGGAAAAGAAAAAGAGAGTAAAAGAAAAGCAGGAAAGGAAGAGAGCAAACGTATGACAAACAGGTTTGTTTGATTTATTTTGTTTTACAGCATATCAACATCTCAATGGGTTATTTAATACCGAAAATATTTTTAGGATAGGTTTGTATGAATAGAATATGTATTCTTTATAAGAAATTAATTTGTAGATCAGGTTTCATTGGCATATTTTTGTAAAGTTGGTTTTTGTCGAGAGTCTGGTTACATTGATGTATTCTTTTAGAGAATTTGGTTTTATTGACATTCTCATTTAGTTTATATTTTGTGGGGTTTGAGTTTTTGATTTACGACATATCAACACCTCAGTGGGTTATTTAATGTCGACAAGAATTTTAGAATAGATTCGTTTGTTTGTTTAGCAGCATATCAACTCCTTATGGGTCCTTTAATGCCAAAATTAAATTTTCATGGGAGCATTAGTAATTTCTTTTACAAAAATGCATTGCTGACAATATTTTTTTTCAAAAATCTATTGCTGGTAAATTTTTTCAGAAATGTATTGCTAGTCAGTACCTCCAAATCAGTGATGAATTTTCTGCTATATCATATATATTTTGCGTTCATTGCTTAAATAGGATTTGGGTTAGTTTATTTTGTTTTACGGGATCTCAACCTCAATGGGTTATTTAATGCCGACAAGATTTTTAGGAGAGGTTCGTATGAATAGAATATATATTTCCAAAAATGTATTGCTGGTAATATTTTTATAAAATGTATTGCTGGTATTTTTGCTATAAAAATCTATTTTTATACTTTCATAGTGTTTTAACCCCAGTTTGGGATTAAGCTGGGATTATAACAGGTGCTACCACCCCAGGTCAGGGTGAACCTCGGAACAACAGCAATGAAGTGGTGGTTCCACGCTCCTCAAAGCCTCCCAATCAGAGGCCTTACTGAGAATAGAGTTTATCATCATACCCAGGGAGCCAGACAAACATGGTTGCTGCCTTGTGTTTTAATACTCCTTTACACCTTTGATCTTTTAAAGTGGAGGAAGACATATTTATTTATTTTATTTTGTTTATTTCTTAATTTTAGGACTCTGACACATCTTGCCAAAATATTAATATACAGTAATTTGCCTGATATCTAATTATTGACATTTATGGTGTCGGTACTATGAATGAAGCTGAAAGACTTTTTTTCCTTTTATCTTCTTTCGTATTTTGAAATACGAATGTTTCTGGCTGGTTAAATTTAAATCTATTTTTAAAATAAACAAAATAATGTGAATTTAATTTCAAAAACAAATTCAAAGTTTTGATTATGTCTCATTTCAACATTTTCGGCCATCTTTTGTCGTATGAAACTATTTCCGGCATTTACAAAGCAGTAAACAAGGACGTGAATATGTTCTTACCTTTAATTAACTGATGCTGATTAATCATAATTAACGAATAACAGAATAATTTCCCGTTTATTTTTGTTCCTATAGATTGCTGAATGGAAACCAGATGGCGCCACGTTCGCCGACAGACTCAAGTTTATACGGAAAAATGACAGTTCTTCAATTATATCTGAGGGCATATTTGAGGACAAACTTAGAATAATGGTCGTTGAAGTACGTTCTTCTTCTTCTTCTTCTTCTTTTTCTACTACTACTACTTCTTCTTCTTCTTCTTCTTCTTCTTCTTCTTCTTCTTTTTTGGTCAATTCTCCGTTGCGTCTTTCTTTCCTTTTTCTTCTTTTACTCTGGCTTATATTCCGTCACTTAGTTCTTACCTTTCTTCTCCTTCTTTGTCTTAAAGCTTCGACATTTCCTTCTTTCCTTTCTTCTCCTTCTTCTTTGGCTTACTCTCCCTCACTTCCTTCTTTCTTTTCTTCTTCTTCTCTCATTCACTTCCCTTCTCTTTTTTCTTCTTCCTTTTCTTTTTTTCCTTTCTTCGTTAGCTTACTCTCCCTCCTTCCTTCTTTCTTATCTTCCCTCACTTCCTTCTTTCCTTTCTTTTCCTTCTTCTTTTGGCTTCCTTCTTTCCCTTCTTCTTCCTTTCTTTTCTTTTCTTCTTCTTCTTCGTTGGCTCTCCCTCAATTCCTTCCTTCTTCTTCTTCGTTCTTTCCTTTCTTCTTCTTCTTCGTTGGCTTACTCTCCCTCACTTCCTTCTTTCTTTTCTTCTTCTTCGTTAGCTTACTCTTCCTTCTTTCCTTTCTTCATTAACTTACTCTGTGTCACTCTCTTTTTTCGTTTCTTTTTCATCGGTTTTCTCTGTTAAATCCTTCTTTCCTTTCTTTTTCTTCTTCTTCTTCGTTAGCTTACTCTCCATAACTTTCTTCTTTCCTTTCTTCTTTTTCTTTCACTTACTCTCCGTCACTTTTTTCTTTCCATTTCTTCTTCTTCTTCTTCTTCTTCTTCTTCTTCTTCTTCTTCTTCTTCTTCGTCACTGCCTTCTTTCCATTCTGTTCTGATTATTCTGTTTATTCACTTCCACCCTTTCCTTTTTCTTCTGTCTCATCTACCTTCTATTTATTTCCCTCGTCTGTTTATTTTTTTTTTTCTCATCCGTTTTTTATGTTCTTCATAGAAACTGTACAAACTGACTGAAAAGTCACGGAAAAGGGTCACCTGAAACTACGATTGATTGAATCACGTGAATGTATTCAAGAAATTCGATTAATGGATGGATTCAAATCCCTTCGTGGCTTTGACGATATGTTCATTAGATTAAACATTGTCAACCATTGTCATTACTTTTTAACTCGTATTTACTTGCATGATCATTTTCATTAGATTTACGAAACGCTGCTTTGTGGGATTGACTGCCGATCACTACAATTTTAACCTGTTCGTATCTAGGATTAAGCGTTACCTTCTCCACATATCCCCATAAACTTTCCTATCTTCTTCTTCTTCTTCTTCTTCTTCCAGATTCTTCTTCTTCTTCTTCTTCTTCTTCCAGATTCTTCTTCTTCTTCTTCTTCTTCTTCTTCTTCTTCCAGATTCTTCTTCTTCTTCTTCTTCCAGATTCTTCTTCCAGATTCTTCTTCTTCTTCTTCTTCTTCTTCTTCCAGATTCTTCTTCCAGATTCTTCTTCTTCTTCTTCCAGATTCTTCTTCTTCTTCTTCTTCCAGATTCTTCTGTTTTTTCGCTTCCACCCTTTTTTTTTTTTAAATGTATTACTCTGTAACTCTCTACCTTGAGTATCTCTTGGGCCTTGTACGGGTTGAGCATCATTGGTTAAAATAAATGTAGCATTGTCGAAAATTATTATTACTTTTGACCAATATTTCCTTCATTTTTTTTATACGATAAAGCATTGTCAACCATTATTATTAAAGTTTTTCTAATATTTCCTTTCATCTTCAATTTTAGCCAAGATGTCTCAACGTTCTATTAATTCATTGTGACATTTGGCTTATGAAGATTTATATTCAACAGTAATTGACCTAACAAGGGTTTTGTCTATAAATTAACCAACCTAAGCTAAACTAAATAAATAATCATTTGTATTCTTTATTTTTGCTGTAATCAGGAGAAACCGTTTGTGTTCAAAGATTTAACATCAACGTGGCAAGGATTCACCATTGATTTGCTGCGGAAACTCAGTAAACGCTTGTCTTTCAATTACGAACTCATCCAGCACAAGGAAAACCAGTATGGCGTCAAGTTAGAAAATGGCAATTGGACGGGGATGGTAGAAGAAGTTCGTAAAGGGGTAAGTATAAGTATATATATATATATAGATGGCCTGAAGGTTGCGCTGACACTGAGGTCAACAGAGAGTCATAACAGTGTTATGGAGTGGTTTCACAGTGGAGGCTTGTATTTGTACTAAGTCGGTCCTAAAATAAGTTCGACGTACAGAACATTAGGAACTTGATATAATAGGTAATGCCGCAGAGAAATCTAGTTGTGGTCGCTGATACTTTAGTATCCGACGAACGGTCGTCGACTGACTGACCCACTGAGAGACTCACTCGTTACTCTTACTACTCCTACTTATTATAGGTGGGAGAGTCTATTAACTATAGAATAGGTGTGTTCCACTATAACAAACAGTCTGTTTCATGCTTAAATGCAATCTTCTGATGGCCTGAAGGTTGCGCTGACACTGACTACTGTCTTGTGCTATACTACGAACAAACTCTCAGTCTCCCACGACCGATATGCGATACCCCTGAACAAGAAAAGGATTGAACCTGTGTAAATCACAGAAAATAAAAACTATTTTACTTATCTCAACCACGTTTTAAATCCATTAGTTGTTTTGTCCCTTCCACGTTTTTTTTTTTTTTGTTCCCTAAGGCTCTCGTTAAATTATTTTCCCTTTATACGATGAGTCGAAGTTAATTCAAAATCTATTAATATTTACACGCATTACCCGTGAAAATTTATCGGTTTCCGTATTTGAATTTTCTGATAAATCACCATTCTTAAGTTAATGACTGAATAAGTTCCTTTCGAGTTCCACGACTACGTCGGTTACTATTCAATAATTATAAAAAAATCGTACAACAACAAAAGAGACGATAATAATAATAATAATAATAATAATAATAATAATAATAATAATAACCAACAAGATGGCCGACGTAAATCTTTCAATATTTTTCAACGGTCGAGGAAAGATGGAAAAGACACATTAGAAACGATGTTTGGTTTCAAAGAAAGAAAGAAAGAAAGAAAGAAAGCGGAGAAGATAAAGCTCTCATGTGTTAAACGTCTGCTTCGGTGAAACAGAAAACTTCTCAGTTACATTTGTGCCTTCTTACTACTTTAAATAATGACCTGCGTTCATATTCATGATTGTTATTGCAATATTTTGTTAAAGTTGTTAAGCTCAAATACTTGACGAGGCAATAGGGTGATTTTCTGAGACATTCCATTACAACAGTCTGTCTGTCCTCGCAATCAAACGGGGAATTGCCCATTGTTTGCCTGGGGCAATGACAGGGCGTAACGTACATGCTAAGTAAAGAAGGAAAGAACAAGCAGAATAATAATATGATATTTGTAATTTGCAATTGTTATCAACTCATAATACACGATTACGTCTGAATCAATGAAGCTTCCATGAAAATAAATGTCATTTTTCTTTCTTTTTTTTTATTAGACAGCAGATCTTGGAATGGGTGCTATTTCTATTACGTCACAGAGAGATGAAGTAGTAGACTTTAGCCTAGGAATATTGACCACTGGTATTAACATCTTGATCAACAAACCGAAAAGCACGCAAAACATCTTCCAGTTCCTCGTTTCCTTTTCTTTGCGCCTATGGATGGCTATTGTCGGTATTGTGGTTGGCGTAAGTGCTCTGTACATCATCCTTGATCTCCCGAACGAACCCCGCCAATTCACCATTAAGGAAACGCTTTGGTTCAGTGTCGGCACACTTATGATGCGAGGGACGGACTTCTCGCCAAGACGCACTTCCCACCGAATACTGACCGCCGGTTTTACATTTTTTGTGCTGGTCATCATTTCTACCTATACAGCTAATCTAGCCGCTTTTCTGACCATGCCAAATCTGAAAACCCCAATTAGCACCTTGGAGGAACTTATCCATTCTAATATGCCCTGCGGCACTGTGAAAGACACCAATACAATGTCGGTGCTACGGAAGCAGTATCCAATCCTCTACGAGAAAATGTTGGAGTCGGACGGTCTCGTGACGAGCGAAGTAGGACTGGCAAGAGCCAACACCACGCCATTCGCCTTCGTTTACGATTATTTGATCAACAGCTACGCCGAGATTACTCATTGTGGAACCATGAGCTCTGGGACACCGATCCTTCTCCAAGAACACGGAATCGTTATGCGTGATGGTGCACCATTTAAAACCAAAATCAATATTGAACTACTGAAAATGAAAGAAGAGAAGGTTATCGAAAATTTATATAAAAGGTATTTATTGTATTCATACATATATCTCTACGTACTCACGTAGAAAACATACGCAAAAGCTCAAAGATTTGTGGCCACCATCTGGATTTAATAATTAGTTAGTTTCAAACCTTTTTTTCGTTTAATTAACTCCTACTAAACTAAGATTCTGAAACTAGTTAATCCATTATTGCAGTGTTTATCATGACACACTTAGCAAAAATTTTAAAGGCTATACATTTAAATGTTATGAAATAAAACAATACACACACAAATAGGAAATTACTTTATTTCAATGTTTCTATTCAACTATTTGTGCAGCTTATTTAGTGTGTAAACCTGAGCCTGGTGTTTTTTCACGATTTCTTCAATGTTTGGTCGAATGTGCGATAAGCAGACGATCATTTCTTCTTCAGTTGTGTGTAGTCTTTCTCGCTTCATATTTTTGATGTTATTTAGGTTTGGGAAAACGTAGAAAACTGCAGTGAAACTGATAAAACCTTTTTAGCTAATGTGGGATATTTCTTTTGGATTGAAATTCAAAATGTATCATATGGGTAATGTCGAATGTTTTGTTTTGGGCTCTTAAAAAATAAAATTACTTTTAAAAAATGAATATTAGAACAAAGTATTTAAAATAACATAATCGAAGAATAATGAAAAGAATTATTTGATCAAAAAGTTTAATACTTATTCATTTATTCAAATATACTAACGCTGTACAATTACTACTTCAACAAACACACATATATGTAGAGATTTACTTGATCTCCCACTGAGTCAGGTTGTGACACAAGATCAGTTTTTTAACGTTGGGACACGAGTGTTTTCACTCGGTCCGTTGGTCTAAGCTGGTCTTAGCTGGTCAGAGCTCGTCTAAGCTAGTCTTAGTTGGTCCTATGTTATCCAAGCTAGTCAGAGTTTGTCTAAGCTAGTAATAGCTGGTATTAGCTGGTCATAGCTTTTCCAAGCTGGTCAGAGTTCGTCTAAGCTAGTTATAGCTTGTCTTAACTGGCCATATATTGTCAGAGCTTGTCTATGCTAGTCATAGCTGGTATTAGCTGGTCATAGCTTGTCTAAGCTGATTAGAGCTCATCTATGTTAGTCATAGCTGGTTTAGATGACCATAGCCTGTCCGAGCTGGTAAGAGCTCGTCTAAACTAGTCATTGCTGGTCTTAGCTGGTTATAGCCTGTCCAAGTCCAAGAGCTCGTTCAAGCCAGTCATAGCCGTGATACGACCTGTTTCAGGTAAGTATAAACACATATATATGTATGCCGTGACAATATTTCGCGGCAAAGTTAAGAGTATCAGGCGGCACACTAATGTGCCGTGGCACGGCGGTAGAGAATCACTGCGTTAGTGCATGGTGTTCAGTTTTTAGAGAGGGGGGTTGCATAACATTTAAAATCTACCAGCCTTAAGATTAAGTAACAATGTAGATTCGGGAAAAAAGTATATTAAAGAAACTGCAGGCAGTAAGGGGTTAATTATTAGCTATTAAGTTTAAAAAGGGTCCGCAACCTTCAAGTTTTACGCAATTATTCGAAATCCAGAGGGTGAACCTAAACTTTTGCCTTATAGTGTATATGCATGCTAATATACACGTGCGTGTGAGTGTGTGTGTGTTGTGTTGTGTGTGTGTGTGTGTGTGTGTGAGAGAGAGAGAGAGAGAGAGGTGGGGGGAGAGCGAGGGAATAAATTTTGATGAGAATCCAACGAAATGTTAAATATATACGACAATTTAAGAAAACTTCAATTTGATCTCCATCTATGTCTTTGAGATGAGGTATTATGTGTACTTGCATTATTTACATTATTCGGACTGTTATCCTCATCTTCACTAGTATATTCGGAACGTTTCAGCCGTTGTACGCACCGGCCTTCTTCAGGTGATGGATCGCTGAGATGAGGTATTATGCGTACTTGCATTATTTACATTATTCGGAGTGTTATCCTCATCTTCATTGCCATATTCACAACGTTGAGGCTGTTGTACGCTCCGGCCTTCTTCAGAGGATTGGATCTCTAAAATGAGGTATTATGAGTACTTGCATTATTTACATTATTCGGACTGTTATCTTCATCTTCATTGCTATATTCACGTTTCGGCTGTTGTACGCTCCGGCCTTCTTCAGAGGATTTGATCTCTGAGATGAGGTATTATGAGTACTTGCATTATTTACATTATTCGGACTGTTATCCTCATCTTCACTAGTATATTCGGAACGTTTCGGCCGTTGTACGCTCCGGTTTTTTCAACTGATTGGAAGTTCGAAATTCCAATGAGCTGAAGAAGGCCGGAACGTACAACGGCC